AGGCAGTGCTGTAACAGCCGCGCTAGGTATTCAATTAAGATATTAGCCGTCACAACAAGCGTCTTTGGGCAGATGTCAATCCCAGGAGAGGCGTGCAGGCGCGTGGATAGCAGCTTTCTCCTCACGGTATCTGCCGTAAAACTTATATGAATGAGATTAGGTTTAAGCGCTATAGTTTCCATGGTTCAGGAGACCACGGGATACAATGAAACATTGGTGCATATTGTTGTAGCAGAATATTCGACGCTTCTTTGGCAGTCTTAGCTAGATTATCCGCTGTTTGAAGAGGGGGATATTCATTTTTCACCTTGCGAAAGCTTTTCACGTGCGTATACAGAAGCCCATGATTTGAAGTAAATCGCTCTGCTAAAGCCTGCTGAAATGCTACTAATTAGCTATACTAATGAGGTACACTAATTAGGTACAGTGGCTACGGTGGACAACATAGGCTTTCCAGGTATTCGGATTGGGATCGATTTTGTGGGCGAACCACGTCATGTTACGTAACACCATGCATTTGCGTGTCCTACTCCGTATAAACTGAGTCACGTTTCTCGAACTGATAGTCTTGGTTTTTGATGCGTCACTAACCAAAGTGTTAAACTAACTGAGGAAAAGTTCCCAGGCAATATCCGTGTATCCTCGGTTAGGAAACTCAGTCGGTCGCTTCAACGAGCTGGGTTAAGGTGTCGTAACTGGCTACAGTTCGCGTTGTTTGAGTGCGGTCCTCGACATATCCAACATAGCAAGTGTACATGAAATGCAAAGTCTCATGATCACTGCGGCCTAGAAGAGTATCGATTATCGCTCTCTCGATCATGAGTTCTTCATTAGTGAATATCCAGTCCAATGTGATGGCCAGTTTCTTCCCGTGAATCTGGCGGGCGAAGTGTCTTTAAAGCGGAAAGTTTGAGACAAGGTCTTGCAGGTCTCTTTGAATTACTCTCCTGCTGTAACCTGGTACTCTAGAGCATGTAAGCTGAAATCGCCAGCAATTAGAACGCGAATGTACTTCTTGTTTATCACCTGCCTCAACGCAGCCACCAAGTTGCAGTCCATCTCAGGTGTGGACGATGGTGGGCGGTAAACTACAACCACTAGGCCAACGTCGCTTCTTCGCAGTCGTAACCTACACCAAATGGGGTCGGGCACTTCGGTTTCAGACTAGTGTATGAGTTTGCACTGGAGGTTGTTACGAATGTAGGGCCACACCACCACCTTTGCTAGTTCGATCATTCCGGACAACGGACATATCTGTTAGCGCGATTTCGGCGTCCGTTATCTCACAGCTTAGCCATGTTTCCTTGACAGTGATGAGGTCCCAAGCTGCTGACGTATGTCGAAGTCTCAATTCGACTAATTTGCTGAGTAGACTTTGGGCATTTGTGTGCATTCAAGAAAGCTTCTTTGATACCGGAAGCGTGGTGGATGAGGCGAGTGAATTTACGCTGACCGCTGAAGGGTCGGTGGCTAGTCGTTTTTGGATCTATCGTAGGCTCTCGAGAAGAAGTCGGAATGTATTCTTACATCAGACCCTCCGGATCCTGGTGGTCCGTCGTGTTTTGCTGTGTCCCTTTCAGTGTTTTGATTACTGTTGAAATCGTCACCACGTCGGATCCTACAGTAGGTATTTTCATTGAGATTGGCACCCCTGGGTTGTCAACAGAACGTGGTTTGGTTCCTGCTGATTTCAGATGAATTTCTGTTGGTAACCTGCTACGGAACATAGTCCTATTCTCTAGAAGAATTTGTGCCGTTAGTTCGGAGTGTAATACCAGTTGCAACGGCCTGGGACCGCACCCTTTGTAGTTAGGTAACACTGGAATCCTTGTCAACGAGGTGACAACATTTTCGAGGGAAAGGGCCTTACAGATATAGCGTCATTTCTCCCGATCGTGTACTTGCACATCGTCGTAGGAGGAATAGGTAAGCTCAGAAACACTACAAGCAATCAGTTTTCTTATTTTCTTTTTCTGTTTTCCTCTCGGTCAGTGGGAATCGCTGAACGTTCTTTCCGCGGGATATCGGGTAGTATGCGCACTCCACTTGTGGATTTGGGGAGTCGATTCGCAGGCAAGAGAACCGCCTCTGTCTCATTTGTCTTATGTACCGAGTTTAGTGTTACGCGAAGTAATCGGAGTTCACAGTAGTACGGTGAGTTTGGGTGACGCAACATGCGTTTTAATATCGTAGGATCACCGGTCGCCGTACAGATTGAACTCCATTGATTTCGCTCGTCTGGCAGCTTACTCTTAATTGTATTGAATTTCGATTCGGGGACAGTAGTGTACACGAGGTTTAGGCACCCTGATCGCACCTATCGACTAATGGTTTTGGAACCTTAGTTTCTCATGCTTCTGATGAATTTGTGGGCCGTAATAGTATAGGCCATCCGTGCTATGACACGTCAGTTTTTCTCAGTTAGACCGTCAAACTTACCGCTGCTTTATCTGGCGTTTAACTGACGGCAACCGATGCGCATATTGCCTAGATCCTCACTATGGTGGTGCTGACTATAGCTTCGGGTCTTTTGTATAGCGAATAAACTAGTAGGTGTAACACACTGTAGAGAAGTTGAAGCGGGCACGTTGCATGCATTGTTTTTATTTATGGGTGAGAGAGAAGGGAGTTGGTAATGGTGAAGACTGAGATGTTGGGGTACGGTTAGGATGCCTGGCTCTCTTCTTTGACCCGAATGGGGAATTTGGGGTAATTTTTTCAAGAATAAGTGCTAGTTTCTTTCCTCCCAAAGGTGTAACTCTTTCACTCAGTAGTTACTCGACTGTCACCGACTGTTCACCGTCTTTCACACTTCTGCAATAGCACAGTTAAACAGCTAACGACTGGGATAGCACTGCATACTTGGCAAAACCAAAGCGCCTCTGTCGTTCTATCCTACCGTTTCCTTCCTGTTTGTCCCATCCTAATATACCTAGTGCGCTATGATTTAGAGCAATTGATGCACACTTGCCAGTCTTCACCACTTGAGCACATAATTCACACCTACTCTTCACGTGAGACATATTAGCAGAGAGCATGCAGTTTTAAGGTCACGCATTTGTGGGATGATCAGTCAGTGCAGTTTCCCGCGTCGAAAAGAAGCGCGCATCTGCGTGTTTTGGTGCGCTCGCTGTCACAACTGGTCCCTTGTAAACACGCGTTTCAGTGTAGGTCGGTTAAGCGATCAGTTAGGAGCAGCTGGTTTGGAACCTAGTAAATGATCCTGAATGCAACGTTGAACATAGATTGAGAGAACGCATCTTCGTCCACAGCTACGTGGAGAAACACCGAATTGAAATAAGCTTTGGATTTTCGGACTACCTCGAGAATTCTGCATCGAATGGTGTTACACAGAAAGTCAAGTGGCCATCCGTTCATCAAAAAGTCAAAGTCTAGACCTCGATTAGAAATTCATTGTTCGTAGAACGCAAACTCATTTTATATCTCGAGTCAATTAGAATCACTTACAGAAGCAGAACAAATCTCCTTCCTATTACATTCTCGGCCAGTGTTCGAGCTTCGTTCAATGTCGATCCAAATAGATTAAATGCTATCCTTCAGTTCGCCTCTGCAGCGATCGACCAGCTTTCAGACGGTTGGCCCAAAATCGTTAAGCTCGACCGATTGCTATGCAACGGGCATCTAAATGTAGTGTCTTACCATCACACAGAAGGGCAACCGGTTCGAAGTGAATGAGTTATCCGCTTGTGTTTAATCACTCAGGAGAGTAAACAAGTTAGTGATGATAAAGACTTTAGCCTGTAGCAATCCAAAAGATATTTTAACTTATGTGCACTTTTGTTACTCAATCGTACAACATTGGCTTTTGTTTTAACTCCGACCCTACGGCCATTTTTACCTACATCCGGCTCACTACTTGTCTCCACGGTGAGTCCCGATACTGAGGTGCACTCTCGTCGCTTTATCCGTTTTTCGTTCGATTGTAGCCTTTCTCGAATACAATCCGTTGTGTCCGTTCTTCCAGTTTTGTGGTATCCGCACCAGAGCAAGGACACTCTCGGACTAGTATAGACTAGTCCTACAAGCCGTAAAAGAGAATTCTATGTATCAGGGATCACTGTGTAGTCTATGTAAATCCGGTTCGAATGAGCCTACGGAGACTACGGTGCGATAAGATAGAAATATAGAGAGGAATAGTCCAAATGACCCAGGCGCACGCAGGTCGCGCGTGTGACATAGCTGCATGGTCGCCTGCGGGAGGTAAGACTTTGGATGGAGTGAGTTATTTTCTATCTTTTCAGATACATGCTTCTGTTTTTTTAATTTTACGTTATTCCTCACTTGAGGCCTCTAAATTTTATCAAATATCTTGCCTATTCTATTGATTTTTCGTGCCCATAACATTACTGACAAGGTGGAAATTACTGAACACGAGTTACTGCTAGTTGTGACCTGGTCTAGACATCTTTCCTTGAGAAGCTTGGTGGTTCATACCTAATTCAGTCGTTAAAACGGAATTCACCTAGTTCACCGACGTTATAATTCTACTGTGAGAAACATTTGGGTCCCTTTTACTATCACCGTCACTCGACTGCAGCGTGAGTGTGTACATCGACTTATGTCCAAAACGGAATCAATAGCAAATTTGTGTAGTTTTCTTTACGAAGGTATTTGGTTATTCTACCGATATGACATTAAATGAGCATACTCGGACGATGGAGACTTACCGAGAAATTGTCAGATATAGTGTCCACCAGCGGCATACATCCAATTTCGGTTTTCACTTTAGTTCAGGTTAATTTGTTGCAAATCGGGACAAAGTTGTGAGTGTTATTAAAAATTAACTGATCTCGTACCAAATTGGTAATACAAACCTAGTAATTGAATTCAATAAATAAATACATTATACTTAAATGATACTAACTGCTATAACTTGCTTTCAAACGCCTCAAGGGTTCACTTTTAGGTGATCGGATTTTTCAGCAGCAATTAAACGATAGGTGCAATTTGCACTGAAACTAATTGAAATACAAACGTACCTACATGTAGCTCCATTTTGTATGCAAGATCAAATTCAAGTGGATGCGAAAATAAATGCTTTTTCTGCAATGGGTAAAATGCAAGAAGGGGTGAGAAGGGCGAAGAATTAAGTATGCCTGACACTTCTCTTAAGATCACAACATGTCCTACTCTCGTACTGTTTGATACATTTCAAGGGATTTCTATGTTGTAGTGGGTGTGAAACATGCACACTTTTATTATTCTGCGACAGCAGACTTTATTTTTCCTTATACCTTCTGATCGTCCATTTGATTTCTGATGGTACATCCAGTTCAGTTGCGCTTTTTTGTTGACTCACGCTGCTACGAGGTCTCTGCACTTGCTTACCCGCTCTCCATTTATTGTGGCTCTTGTCAATACACCTTGCGTCTAGCCCAATGTACCGTTCATTGTATTCATTTGTTTGCCACACCTACCGAATGTCAGCTGAAAGGCACTTCATAATTGATGATCCCGACTGCAAGCACAATTCTGCCATCGCGAAAATTATTTTTGGTGGGCTGGTTCCTTTTCTCCGGAATTGCCTTTTACCAACTATACCTTTTTCCATTAAAGTTGGACATTCGGGCAAAACATTTAGGCCTGTGGGTCAACAGGGTTGCTCCTCCGGGGCAATCATTTTGAGTCTTCGGTATGCGGAAATGAACCACTCTCTGGCTTTGTAGGGGCTGTTTCATTGGCCAAGCGCCTTCAGCAAATAGGACCTTAGACGCATATCGGTGGCATGGACCCAATTGAGACGCCGCAACCGAAACATGAGCTCACACACCTCTGTGCACAGTGGACGGGGGTGACACCATGCGCGACTGTGTTCCTCTACCCACAGAAGGGCATGTAACCAATTAGCGCACCCCAAAGGCACAGACGATTGGAGGGTAGGGAAATAAGAAAACGAGCTTGATAACATGTACCATCTTGAGAGGTAGCTACAACAAGCAGCGATGCTCTGGGTGGCTGCAAGAAGTTCTCGATACTAACGGAGCAACGTTTTTGCGAGGTTGCGTTGTGGTTTGCGACAACGCACCCTGTCACACGAACCTGGAGCAAGTGTTTTCGGAGGACCGTTATCGCTCTGAGAGACTTCTACGTCTTGCACCATACTCTCCAGCACTCAACCCCATCGAAGGAATCTGGAGCATTTTAAAGGCACATGTCAAACAGGGGATGAGGGGAAGATATGCCGAAATGCTCCGGGGGTACCCTCAAGGACTTTTAAGTAAAACAGAGTGGCGGCTCCGTATTCTCGAGTGTGCGGTGTCAGAAGCACGGGCCTTGATTACGCCTGAACACTGTGAACGAATGGTCGAACAAGTCAGAAAGAATTACGGACGTGTTGTACATTTAGTCGATTTTTAACATAATCTGTTGCTAGTAAACTTACTGTTTGTAAACGAGTGCTTTATTAACTGTATTGTTGTATTGGGCCAGGATACATTGTGTACGCTACAATAAGTAGCCAGTTGTGCACCTGCAGTAGCCATGTGGAGCACAGATTTGTTTTCCGTGTCGCGTTGTAGAGCAAACCTGCGAGAGCTAGAATAATCGTTGCGCGCGTAATTACCGTTGCATAGTCGGTAAATATGATTTATCCCTTGTCGTTGTTGGTGTTAAGAAAGCCGGTTCAACCAAATCGCCTTGACATTTTGAACTAATGATGCCTACGCAGGTGATGAATTGCTCCGCATGGCGCATGCCAGACAAGTTCAAATGGGAACAGCAAGATAGGCATATCCCGTGAATGTTCCCCTTAAGCGGGTCGTTGCAGCATGAGTTGACGTAGTGTTTCGAGACGTGGATGAAGCAAAAACAATGACCTCATTGCACTCGGAACATCCAATTAATGATGACAAATCAGTTAGTAGAAAGGGAAGGCTTGGTGATGCCACCAAAGAGCATCGAGGTGACTCACGAAACCATTCACCGTAGATTCCGTTAGTGGTGATCTGGTAGCGAGTTATGGCGCTCTTTAACTGTACGCGATAAACGCGTTTCTGCCCAAATCGGATCACATGGTGGTTTGTGCAGTTTCCGCGGATGATCGCGGAGACTAGGTAACGTAGCGGGATGAAATAGCCAGGACAGATCTGGACCAATCTTTCCCGTCGGTTGATTCGTTTTGCAAGTACTGCCTCCGAAACTTCCAAGCGTGGCATTAAAATTAACTTCAGGGCGAGTGAATATTTTCTGGGAGATCATTTGTGTACACTAAAAATAGTAGTGGGCCAAGGACGGATCCTTGTGGCATACCACTGGAGACACACTAGCTGTCCCAATGGGCCTCGGCTAATGTTACCTTGATTGCTCTGCCATGCCAGTAAACTTGCAACCAGGTGAGCAGGGAACCACTGTAAAGTCGTGTACAATTGGATGTTCCGAGTGCAATGAGGTCATTGTTTTTGCTTCATCCACGTCTCGAAACACTACGTCAACTCATGCTGCAACGACCCGCTTAAGGGGAACATTCACGGGATATGCCTATCTTGCTGTTCCCATTTGAACTTGTCTGGCATGCGCCATGCGGAGCAATTCATCACCTGCGTAGGCATCATTAGTTCAAAATGTCAAGGCGATTTGGTTGAACCGGCTTTCTTAACACCAACAACGACAAGGGATAAATCATATTTACCGACTATGCAACGGTAATTACGCGCGCAACGATTATTCTAGCTCTCGCAGGTTTGCTCTACAACGCGACACGGAAAACAAATCTGTGCTCCACATGGCTACTGCAGGTGCACAACTGGCTACTTATTGTAGCGTACACAATGTATCCTGGCCCAATACAACAATACAGTTAATAAAGCACTCGTTTACAAACAGTAAGTTTACTAGCAACAGATTATGTTAAAAATCGACTAAATGTACAACACGTCCGTAATTCTTTCTGACTTGTTCGACCATTCGTTCACAGTGTTCAGGCGTAATCAAGGCCCGTGCTTCTGACACCGCACACTCGAGAATACGGAGCCGCCACTCTGTTTTACTTAAAAGTCCTTGAGGGTACCCCCGGAGCATTTCGGCATATCTTCCCCTCATCCCCTGTTTGACATGTGCCTTTAAAATGCTCCAGATTCCTTCGATGGGGTTGAGTGCTGGAGAGTATGGTGCAAGACGTAGAAGTCTCTCAGAGCGATAACGGTCCTCCGAAAACACTTGCTCCAGGTTCGTGTGACAGGGTGCGTTGTCGCAAACCACAACGCAACCTCGCAAAAACGTTGCTCCGTTAGTATCGAGAACTTCTTGCAGCCACCCAGAGCATCGCTGCTTGTTGTAGCTACCTCTCAAGATGGTACATGTTATCAAGCTCGTTTTCTTATTTCCCTACCCTCCAATCGTCTGTGCCTTTGGGGTGCGCTAATTGGTTACATGCCCTTCTGTGGGTAGAGGAACACAGTCGCGCATGGTGTCACCCCCGTCCACTGTGCACAGAGGTGTGTGAGCTCATGTTTCGGTTGCGGCGTCTCAATTGGGTCCATGCCACCGATATGCGTCTAAGGTCCTATTTGCTGAAGGCGCTTGGCCAATGAAATAGCCCCTACAAAGCCAGAGAGTGGTTCATTTCCGCATACCGAAGACTCAAAATGATTGCCCCGGAGGAGCAACCCTGTTGACCCACAGGCCTAAATGTTTTGCCCGAATGTCCAACTTCAATGGAAAAAGGTATATTATGTTGTGGTGTTCAATGGCTCACCCAGATACTACATCTCCATTGAGAATATGAGGTCGAAAGACGTATCGTAGCACGGGCGAATGCCTGCACCAACGCACTTACGGTTCTCATGCGCGTCCAGATCCTCTACCCCAAAAGGGGTAGAACATATGAATGATCTGCTTTTGGCAAACGACAACTGGTAGGTGAATAGATAGGTGAATAGTACAGGCTGAGACTGGTTCCGTTTGTCAGGTAAACATAAGTGCGCCTTAAGCAAGCCGGCCGCTAAGGTCAGGCGATGCCACACGAGAGCGTTACTACAGCCTTGAGTTCGGAAGTTAAATCTAGGCTATGAGGACATACGAATGCTGGGATTCAGGTTAACGATCTACGGATGGTAAGCTGTGCACCTGGTCTGTGGACAGACAGGCCACATTCCCGTCGGCGAGTGGTTACGCTTGCCAGGCAAACATGTGCGAATGTTAAACTAGACGACCGCTATGGTCTGGAGAAAGTGTGACCATGATGCATGCAAATGATTGATAGCTTTTCATGGCTGCCAAACCAGTATTTGGCTGGCCAGTCCAAACGAAAAGATTACTGCGGCGAATGGTTCCTGTTCTGGAACAGTGTCTCAGCCATGGTTCTCAGTGAGGCACGTTCGTCTGCGACTTATCTGCAGCTGGAGTTACAATACGTTTGCCGGAAGCAGATCATTCATATGTTCTATCCCTTTGGGGTAGAGGATCTGCACGCACATGAGAACCGTAAGTGCGTTGGTGCAGGCATTCGCCCGTGCTATGATACGTCTTTCGACCTCATATTCTCAATGGAGCTACAGCAGTTTCGGCTCAGCCATTAGTGTGGCATCGCTGGCTGTTCCTCATGTCTTATTTGTTGACCCACATTTTGGGTTCGTCTTGTTAAAGTATGAGTGTTGCATAAAAATATTATTTCCGACCAATCTAAGTGCAGTCATTTGTTATGTAGTCTTTTTGGATATTTTGTTTTACAGCTCAGAGACTGCCTTTTGACCGAAACAGAGATCCTTTCTTACGTGTCTATTAAGCAGGGGATCGTAACCGGACCGGAGTAACCAGCGAGTAAGCGGATCAAACAACTATTCCACAGCTTGAGTCCAAGCGATTAATTGTCATTTGCCCTGTATGGTGAGATAAGAAGGCCCCTCGGCTCGTCTATTATATATGAACCATTTCTGCAGATATTATGGCTGCAGCACCTACCCGAAATAACCAAAGTTAGCATCATATCCGCTAGTCATACACCTGGTAGATGGTTTCATGAATCATTTTCCTAAGTAAGTAGATTGTGCAACGCCACTCGATACCTATTCGCCGAATATCCCTAACGCGTCCTAGCAGCCACCTAC